GTAGTTTTATTTATTTGTAATTATTTACAAGAAATTAAGGTTTTACTTAAGATTCAAAATAGTTTATATATGATAACATGAACTGTTTTTAGGCCTAGCAATTGATTGAGAACTTGCTTAATTGAGAAGAATTTTGTGAGAAAGTTTCGTTTTGCTTACATATTTACTTGAAATTATTGTTGCACCTAAGTCTAAAAATACTTTATATAATGAAAGCCATCTATAAAGTTTAGTTATGCTTAAAAATACAAAATATTGGTGTATCTGCATATATTTTGTAGATTATTTTTGAATCCTCCACTTCAACATCGAATTTAAACCGGCTGAATATACTTTTTCTTGTCTTAAATCCTACATCTAGTCAGAGATGAACCAATAAAATATTTAGAAATACTTCCAACTTTAAATATAATTGTAATATAGGCTCTGGGGTATAATAAGATTTTACAAATTCCCCATCATTGATGGCTCTTGTAGGGCATTTGCTAGTCAGGAAAGCCCTGCTAAGGCATCTCCCATGCATTCTCATTTTAATTAATATTTAGTAATAAATAAACTTTTTCACAATATTTTCTGGGACAACTTTTGGCTCCCACCTAAGTAGACTTTCGACTTGCCCCCAACGATTTCGCTCAGTGCACTCTTTTGCGGTCAGCGGCAGTGGCCAGGTCTATGTGCCGCATGGCAGCGACGCATATGTGTCTATCAGTCGTTGCTCATAATGATGTTGGCCGGGCCAGCTACCGCTGGCACCCTTCGCCTTGGTCGCCGGCTTTGTTGGCTTAATTAAATTGCGGTTGCCACTTGCAAACGAAGCGCGTACACAAAATCACACACAGCACATTGCAACAATGCAACAAGGCAACAATGCAACAACAGCGACTGTTGCACGTTCCGTTTCACTTGTTAATTCGCTTCTTTTCATATGCTTTATCGCTGCTGTTGTTGTTGTTGTTGTGGGAAAAGTGGTTAAAAAGTGTATGGGTGTGGGTGTGTGTGTGTGTGTGTCCGTGTGTGTGTGTTTGTGTCGCGGCTAACAATAACATTAAAATTATAACCGCAATTCTGCACGCACCACTAAATAAATTGGTAGCTTAACTAGCTGCGGGAATACCCCTACTCACACCCCTTTGCTTCTCCTGCCAATTCCCGCTATCAACTCTCATCTTATTTGGCAGCCTGTGCATCAAATGCGCAAATGGCAGCTGAAAGTTTTCTTGGCTTAAGGAAGTTTAGATACCTTAGTTGATAAGCGGGTAATTTGACTTCTTCTTCTACTTTTTTACACTGAACGAAATGCTTGAAGGTTTTCAATGAATTCTTTATAATTCGCATTGTTTATTAGCTGATCAAAAAAGTCACCAAAGAAAATTTTCCTTTGAATTTTCGTTCACATTTTTGCCATCTGTTCGCCTCCTTCGCTTCGCTTCTTTCGCCTTCAACTGCACTATTTCGCTCAGTGTACGTTTAGAGCATCATAAGCAGAGCACTTGGCTGTCAGTTGCGCACATTTTGACTGCGCTTGCAGGAAGCATAACCGTATACATATGATGCTGCTTGCATGCGAATGGCCACAGCTTGCCCTGACTTCAGTTCGGTTGCTTCCTTGTTTATTGTGCATTTGTCCTTTCGAAGGACAAAATGCAATTGCAGCCGAATAGTGCAGAAAACTTGCTGACGCGAGGACTTGGCCAAATCGCACGGTAAAGCCAAGTTGAATTGCAGCCACGACACGCCCACAGCAACACTTAAGCCACCCACAAATGACCTTTGAGTGCCCCGCTGTGTCAGCAGAGTTAGTTAGAGGTAGTCCTTTTTATTTATATTTTTCTCATTCGCTCTTCAGGAGTAGCTGCTATCACGTTGAAACTTAAGTTGATTTGGTTTTTTGTTGAGCATAAAATTCAATCAGCTTCAGCTGCATTCAAAAGTTACGAGCCAGCACCCTGTGTCTGCAGCCCAGCAGACAGCCAGCCAGTTTGTCCTTAGCATGTCCTCTGGCAGCAGCAGCAGCAGCAGCAGGAGCAGCAGGAGTAGTCGTAGCAGCCGGAGCAGCGGCGGCAGTCCTTGTCTCGCTGTCTAGACCGCTGCAGGGGTCGCATGCAGCGTCATGACAACCGCATGCGATTTATGCTATTGCCCTCTCTGTCTGACAGGCGCGAGCCTCTTGCCCCTCCCAGCCCCAGTAGTGCCAGCTCCAGCGCTCCGTGCTGCCACTTTTATGTGCCACAAGCGACGCGTTAATATTATTAAATGCAAATTAAGCTTTATCTCATTTCGTTCATTAGCGGCCAATTTGCGCGCCCTTGTTTATTTGGCGTTGGGGTTAAGCATTAACAAACCGGCACGCCCCCAGCTGAAGCTTAGACTGCGGCAATTATCCATGCAGAGAGAAAGAGACAGAGAGAGAAGGTAGATGAAGAGAGGTAGATGATGCACTGCATCATTTGTGGCTGCATTCCAATGCGTCTGCAGCTCCCAGCCCCAGCCCCAGCTCCAGCTCCAGCCGAACTCCATTGGCAGCCTCAGCTAAAGGCGTGCTCACTTCCTGGCAGCGGGCTAATTTGCAAACCAATTAAATGTCAATTTGAGGCATTGTTCGCCCGTCGCCGACGTCGTCACAATGTCTGCCGTGTCAGCGCGTTCAACTTTTGCCCAGACGCTCAGCCCGAGCCAGACTTGCAATTCACCAGCGAAAGGCGCAAAATGTGTTGTCGCCGCCTCAGCTGCATTGTTGTGTGCCCATGCCCTGGAATTGGCTAGCCGCAGTGGGGGTATATGGGTAACAGTCGTTAACAGTTGACAGCAAAGCCTCTACAAGCTGATTCCACGCATGATAACGCTTCTGATTCATCGATTCATATTGATGATCAACAAATGGTTTGGTTATTTGTAGCATTGTAAAACCTTAGATCTATCGATAAATATTCCAACTGTAAAATTCCTATTGTAAAACCTAATATCAAGCGATATTATCGATTTTCAGCAACTCATCTTTTATTTCTGGATCAATGTTGCGGAAATGCATTTAGTTATTAGATAGATGATATCGATTTTTATCGATATATTGATTATGTCTTATTATATATAACTAACAATTCTAAGGTAAGTTCTAAAATGAATCAAATATTTTTATTAAACATGTTTTAGTAGATATCGATAATTATCGATTTCTCCAAAATTTCTCGTTTAGCTTTCTCATTTTTTTTGTTTTTCATTTTCCAATTTGTTGACTATATTTAATGATAGTAATGCCCACATCTCTAAGGGGTATCTCCTCGTCTGTCAATCTACTCCTCGAATATTTCTATTTGCTGCTGCTGTTGTTGCTGGCAGCTGCAAAGTTTGCCCAGCGCCCAAAGTTTTTACTGGCTGTCTAGACGCGACTTCAGTCAACTCCTTTGTAGACTACGACTTCGACTTTGACTTCAACTTCAACTTCAACTGCGACGTTAGTTGTATTTGGTCGCGTAGTTTGCATAAGTTTTGCTGCCTATACTCCACAGCCTGCAGCCTCGCTCAGGCCACGCCCCCTTAGCCACCTGTGCAGCTGTCGTTGGCTTTGGCTTGTGGCTTGAGCCATAGCCATAGCCGTTGCCGTTGCCGTTGCTTAAGTGCATTTTAATGCCTCAAAGGGCGTGATTCAATTCAATAGACGCTCTGTATTTCTTAATTTGTGGGCGCTCGAGCTCTTTGTGCTGTCACACATGGCGTATGCGTAACAATTGAGAAACAAGTCGGAACAGTGGAATATTTGGTTTCATTTTACAGCAAACATGCAGGCGAAGGCTTGATTAGGTCATTAACTAATAGTCTATATGCTAAAAGCTGTCAGTTCTTAGGATAAACTTGATATAAGATATTT